GATAAGCAACCTATCAGATATATAGTTCAGAATATTGATCATAAAGATGCTCAACAGCATGAAAAAATATATGGAAACTATGAAGAAAATTAAGAATGACATAAGAGAAATAAATAAATTAAAAACATTGGAAGGAATGGACAGCAGATTAGAGGAAGCTGAGGATCAGATTAGGGAATTAGAAGACAGGGTAGAAAAAATCACTTAATCAGAGAACCAAACAGAAAAAACAATTAAAAAACAGGGGGACAGTCTAAGGGAGCTGTGGGACAACATGAAATGTAACAATATTCACATATAAGAGTGCCAGAAGAGGTTGGAAGTAAGCAAGGGTTAGAGAACCTGTTTGAAGAAATAATGGCAGAAAACGTCCCTAACCTGGTGAAGGAAGATGTCACACAAGTTCAGGAGGCACAGAGAGTCCCAAGCAAGAAGAACCCAAAGAGGCCCACACCCAGACACGTCATAATCAAAATGCCAAAAATCCAAGACAAAGAGAGAATCTTAAAGACAGCAAGAGAAAAGCAATCTGTTACCTACAAAGGAGCTCCCATAAGGCTGTCAGCTGATTTCTCATCAGAAACTCTACAGGCCAGAAGGGAATGGCATGAAGTATTCAAGGTAATGCAAAGCAAGGATCTGAAACCAAGACTACTCTACCCAGCAAGGCTATCATTCAAGATAGATGGTGAAATAAAGAGCTTCCCAGACAAAAAAGGCTAAAGGAGTTTACCACCACCAAATCAGCATTGTAGGAAATGTTAAAGGGACTGCTATAATTAGAAGTAGAAATAGAGAGAATGAGAAACATAGGCATAACGAAATAAAATGGCAATAGATAAGTACCTATCAATAACCTTAAGTATAAATGGATTAAATATCCCAATCAAAAGGCATAGGGTAGCTGAATGGGTAAGAAAACAACACCCAAATATACGCTGTCTACAAGAGACCCACCTCAGAACAAAAGACAACACAACTTCTGGAGGACTTTAGGACTTTAAGGGAGAGATCTACAGCAATACAGTCACAGTAGGGAAATTTAGCACCCCACTGACTTCACTGGATAGATCTTCCAGACAAAAAATCAACAAGGAAAGAGTGACTCTAAATGACACATTAGATCAGATGGATTTAATTGACATTTACTGAACATTTCACTCCAAAGATGCAGAATAGGCATTCTCCTCAAGTGCACATGGGACATTCTCAAAGATAGACCACATGTTAGGACACAAAACAAGTCTCTACAAGTTCAAGAAGATTGAAGTCATATCAAGCATCTTCTCAGACATCTACACCATGGATACTATGCAGCTGTAAAAGCAAAGGATCTCTTACCCTTTGGGACAGCCTGGAGGGACCTGGAGAGTATTATACTAAGTGAAATAAGCCAGTCAGAGAAAGATAAGTGTCACGTGATCTTACTCATATGTGGAGTCTAATGAACAAAATAAACCGATGAACAAAATAGATCAGAGACATGGGACAGACTGACGAATCTCAGAGGGAAGGCGGTGGTGGGTGGGTGGGGAGAGATTAACCTAAGAACTTATATACATATATGCATAACACACGGACACAGACAATTGTGGGGTGAAAGCCTGGGAGGAGGTGTACAGTGTGGAGGGGATCAATGGCGGGAAAAGAGGGATATTTGTAATACTTTCAACAATAAAGAAAAATTAAAAAATAAATAAGTGGAGTGTATTTGTAAAGAAACTGATCTGAAAATTTAAGTAATAATGGGACTGGTGGCATGAAGACAGAGCAAATTGTGAAGACAACATGTGGGTGACTGAAGTTTGAAAATAAAGGGAGCTGGGGCCCAGCTGACATTGGAGCACAGGACTTTGTCCACGTCTCCGCCCGGCCTGTGTCTGGGTCACATTAACGTGGGCCTGCTGCCCTTGGTGCTGTCGTGTGTCTCCTCCCGTACCAGCCCCTAGTCTCCGCCCTTCAGCCAAAGGCTTCTCTGTAGTGCAGCAAGATGCTCTGCCCACCATCACGCACAAAGTGGGGGCAGTTCAGCCATGGGTCTCTCAGCCCTAAACACCTAACACTCACTTTAAATATCTTCTAGCTATTCTTTGATTGCGTTTTGTCTTGTCAGCCAGATGCAAAGGTCCTTTCAGGTAGGAAGCACACCTGAATTCTTCCCTCCCTTCATCCAGGGAAGGGCGTGGGGACCTGGGATTGTGTGTCATCCCTGGAACAAGGGCCATAAGAGCCAGTCACCTACTTAATTCCAAGTTAATGACCTGATAATGACTTCTCTGTTTCTGACACAGGCATATCAGTGATAGAACAGTTGGGCATCTAAAAAACATTCATTTGATTCCTTTGGGTGTTTCTAAATGAGTCCCCAGCAGAAAATGTATGTAAAAGTCTTGCTCTCCAAATTCAGGTACAAGGTGGCATTATTCCCACCTTGGGGACACACAGAAAAGATGCTTGGGTCCTAGATCTCCATCCTTTCATGACCCCATCCCCATCCCTCCAGATGCAGTAAGTAAAATGGGCTGCTATAGAATGGGAAGAAGATGACAGGTGTCATTTAACTTTCAAAAAATCTTGAACTGGGGGTGAAGGGGGACAGAAAACATTTTCTAAAATAAACAGAAGAGTAATCCCGGATGTTGAATAGCTTCATGGAGGTCCAGGAATAGCAGGTACAGGCTGTTCTGTTCTGATGGTTCCCGAGCCAGTTTTTAACAACCAGCAATATTAACTTCGAGTCTTAATCAAGGAGGAGGCACTCTCAGCAAGCCTCGAAGCATTACCTCCCCAAGAATTCACTCTAAGTACTGTAGGGGTCTTTTTAAGTCCTAGGTACCACAAATTGCACTTAGCAACTACCCAAGCATATTATTTCCTTCCTGCCTAATGTAATTTTTCTGTTTTTTCTACATAAAGGACTTTAGCTATTTTTAAAAAATTATCCTCCCCCTAAATTAACCTGGCTTTTATTTGTTTTTAACAATAAAATGAACTAAAAAAATGAGGCAGCGCTTCTAACTAGCTTTAAGTAACCAGATGTAAAATTTTCCTCTGCAGCCATCATTTAAAGTCTCAAATTTTCTGACGGGGGTACAAAGTTGTGAACTGTGGGGGGACCAAGGGAGGGAGGGCTTATTCTGAAAGCAGGGCAGGCAGGTTGTCCACTACATCAGGCTCATCTGTGGCTGAAACCACATGCCATTCATTCCCTCCTGCCCACTCACTTCTTAGTCATTCCTTCAATCATGCAACAAATTATTATTTAGGTGCATTGTCATGTAGGGGATCATGGAGCAAGTCTGACAAGAGCCTCACCCTCCAGGCCTTACAGTCTAGTGGAAGTTGAACAGATAAACTGGATGATTTCAGTAATTGACTTATTCCACAAATTACTATTTTGTTTTTCAACAAGTTATCACTGAGCCTTTACTATAGGCAAGGTACTGAGAGTCACTGTTAAGACAGAAAAGATCCTTGCCCTCAAGGGGAGTTAAACAAACAAACGAGATGATCTCGAGAACGAGAAGCACTTACTAAGAAGAATACGACGGGCTGCTGCGGAGGCGCTAGGGCCGGGCCTGCTGAGGAAGGGGGGCCCCTGCAGGGTGACTTCTGAGCTCAAGCCCGTCCCCCACGCCGGGCCCTGACGCTTTCCCAGCTCTCCCGCCCAGCACCCGTGCTGCCGAGCGAGGGCCTTCACTCGGCCATTCATCAGTCTGGTGTTTCTCTGTCTCTCTTTTTTTCACCCAGGGTCACAATCCCTGAAGTGCAGGTGGAATAAGCGGAGTTGCTCGCTAGGTGGGCTGCACGCCCCTGAGCCCCGCAGCCGGGCTGCGGCAGGAGGTGGGGGAGTTTTCTAATGGGGCGCCATGAACGCTTGCTCAAGCGAACGCTACAGGCACGGGCCATGTCGCAACGCAAAGTGACCGCGGGCGGGCGGGCGCGGCGGGGGCGCCCCGGGGACCCGCTGAGCCGGGCCCAACTCTGCGCAGAGGTCAGC